AAAAAAAAAAAAGAAAAAAGACTGGGGTTTTAACTGTCTTACACTAGTGCAAATAATTCAGTAAATTAAAAGTACCCATAATTTTTGCATTTGGTAGGTTTATAATTAATCATACAGAATTTTATCTTTTGAATTCAAAGCGACAATCAATCACATTTCACAGTAAGATAGAAAAGTTTCATATAAGATCGCAAGCATCTTTTCACCTCAAATGATACCTCATAGGATCATTTCTTTAAGCATAAAATAAAATTAACACATAAAAGACACTATACCTGTTCTGAGTTCAATCTTCGTGTTTGAATCAATGGCAGTCTTTGGTCTCCCTGGCAGAGGTGGTCTTAATGGTATGACCGTAGGGACTGCAATAGATCCTGCTGTCATGTTGAAGCTGAATTCTCAAACTCTTACAAAGAGGACTGAAAAATAAATGAAGAATACTATTTGGTTATAATACACATTAGCAAGTATTATAGGCTTTCGATTGTCTCTGGAGCTTGAATTATCGCATCAGTCATACGCACCTTATTATTAACTTACTCTCTCCCTATACCATCAGGTACAAAGGGTGGAGATCAGTCGCCTCCACGCTTGCCCATTCAGAAATCGTTCAACAAATAAAACTGATCATAATAATTTAATAATAATAATAGTAATAATTATAATATATAATTCATAATTATAGCAAAAGTTGTAGTAGAAGTAATAGTTGTTAGTAGTAATAGGAGTAATTTTACTAATAATTTAAAATGATTTAATGATGAAAGTACAGAGGCAATATAGATAATTACATTTAAATGGTGCATTAGTTCTTTACAGTACAGCTGGATCCCCGTTTCGATTCTGTTCACTGCTCACAACTCCCACTTCTGGGAATCAACTTTCAGGTAGATCTAGAATCAATTGTATGACGACACTGTGGACAGGAAATACTGCTTATACCGAGTTGCAACGTCTTGTTATTGTTATCCAAGCGTCTTTCGACTTACTTGCTCAAACTCAAAACTCACATGATTGTGATTATGAGAGATGAACAATTTTAAGACTACGTCTAGTCTACTTTTGTGCAAACAATGTCAGAAACAATTGCTAGATCTAATCTAGATCTAGATCTAGATTTAGATCTACCCAATATTGATTGGAATAAGACAACGTCATAAAAAAGGAGTCAAATCCTAGGAGGTTTATCAAGAAACTAAGAAAGCATCCACAATTCAGGCAGAACTAGAATATTATCATGTAGAAACGATGGCTACTAGATCTAGATCTAGATCTAGATTCTAGCAGGCCTACTGGCGTTTCAAATAGCATGGGAGCTATTCAGAACGCGGCTTTTCAAATAGCACGGGAGCTATTCAGAACGCGGCGTTGCAAATAGTGCTTGCCTAAATTCAAATCCAGTTCTCTATATATGATAAAATAAAAAAAACAACAACTTGAAAATCAAAATAAGATGAAACCATTTTATAAGAAAAGAAATCGGAATTATCATTATGTGCACATTACGAAATTATTATAAAGACCACCGTCGTAAGAACGAACCAGTCCAGCCCAGCTCGATGAACCAGGTTTGGGCATGTTTGTAAACAGAATATGATATGAAGGTGTGAACACAGCTCTCATTCACACTCGATACAGTGCAATGTGCCCCACAGACGTACGTTACGGCTACAATAATGCTAATCGTCGTTTATCACATGTAAATACAAGTTACCTATAGTATTATCCAAAATAAATCGGGGGGATAAATCGGGCACCTGCCCGCTTTCTGTAGCAACCACCGTAGCGACGCAAGAGCATCGATTTGGTTGGTTTACTGTGGGAACTCTTTCGCCTGTAAGATACAATAACAGCACCAGCATTACCATTAATAATCTTTGTTATTGTGGTACATGATCTTATGATCCAGTTAAAAAAACAGCAAACCTAATTAATTTCCGAATTTAATAGCATTGCAAGATTACTTGATCATTCATTAAACACGTTGCTCAGAACTAAACGAACGTGAAAAAAAAAATTCAAACACCCGTCTCTTGTACACGTTTTATGTATACTGTTTTTCTAGTAGTATTTTGTATGCTGAACACGAATGATATAGCCTTCATTTTTGCCGCAAATCAATAGTTATAGGCCCCTAATTTTCTAATTGAGTTATTGATGTTTGAAAACAGAATTAGGACCAGTGGCGTAGTAACATTTGACTTGTTTTA